AGGTAGGGAATGGCCACGTATTGCGAGGCCAAGCATCGAGGCATACAATATATTGTAGTTTGTAGTAGAAGGTAGGCAGTAGGCAAAGTATCTGGAATCCGGATGTCGAGCAACCGGTAAGGGAACAGTGAGATAGTACCATTGAGTAGAAGGTAGGGACAATGACTTAGAAATGGATATTCTGCTAGAGTTTGGACATTTACCAGCCGGTGAGGCTGCCAGGCGGCTCTCCCCTGCGCCCTGCCATTTACAGGATCCACATGCTGTGTGTCTGGGTGCTGCCAGTAAGCTTCCCGGCCAGCAAGTGCACCCTGCAAATGAGTCATGGTTCGGGGGGAGAGAAGCCGAAGCAACCCTGGCCGGTGAGGCTGCCAGGCGGCTCTCCCCCACGCCCCGCCATTTACAGGATCCACATGCTGTGTGTCTGGGTGTTGCCAGTAAGCTTCGCGGCCAGCAAGTTCACCCTGCAAATAAGTCATGGCTCGGGGGGAGAGCAGCAAAAGCCCCCGCCCCCTTTGTGTAAGCAACTTGAGCTGCAAGGGTGGCTGTATCTGATCCTCGTCTGATCTACTCTTCTCCTCCTTTCCAACTGCCTCTCATGTACTTTTGGCTTGACGGTGATGAGCAACCGGACTGATGCCCCCCAGAATCGATTGGGCTTTGCCTTTTTGTTTAAAAAAAAAAAATGGTTCTTGTTGCTGACACATGTGAATCGAGAAATGGTCTGAAGAGTCAGTGAAGACAAAAAAAAAGGAAAGAAGTTCTTGTTGCTGACACTTCATCCTTTGTGTGATGCGGTGTTTAGTGTTGACAGAGGCAAATCACAAAGATCTGCTTGGCGAAAGTCTGCTTCGTTGTCTGATGTGGAACTGTAGTAGTAAAGTTGTTTGATTGACCGTAGGGAAGGAGCAAAAAGACGTGCACTCGAAGGAGCTAAAAGATGTGCACACTGTCTTTACAACTTGCCGGCAATTCCTGCCTCGTGCGAGGGCAAGTGTCCTCGCAGTTCGACTTTCATGTCTTTTTTTTTCCGGTTCGTAAGGCGAGCATTATGCCTGTACATGGCAGAGCCAAGGGAGGGGCCCATGATGACTAACTGAACTTTGGGGAGGGATTTGTGTGCAAACAGAGGCCAGCCTACAGCCGATTATGCTTAAACCTGTTTTGACAGGCTGGTGGTGCTTGAAATGTGGCAGCTTTTTGGCCACTGGGCCGAATCCTCGGGACCGAGTCTGAAGGAAATCTTGTGTCCACTCTCCTTTGGAGCTGCACCTACCTTATGAGGAATGGAGGGTAGGAGGAAGGCTGCGCTCCAGTTTCAGGCAAGTGGCATTTACTATATTTGCTGGGGTTTACACCAGCATCATTTGGGGAACCATCGCCTGTGTGCTTCAGACACACTCCTATTCAAGCCATGGTAGGCTTCCTTTCAGCAGCATTAGCTTTCCCTACTTCTCTGTTGAGGGCACTTGACCTGTTCTTCATGCCAGCTGTGAGCTTCTCTGCATACTGGCTGTGGTGGAAGGCTTTATCACCAAGGATTTTCTGCATGGGATTATGAGGCTTTGCAAGGAGACATCAAAGAGGTCACTACTAGTAGTAGTAGTAGTAGTAGTAGTAGTAGTAGTTTTAGTAGTAGTAGTAGTAGTAGTAGTAGTAGTAGTAGTAGTAGTAGTAGTAGGGATATGAATGGCACTATGCAAGTATCGAGTCTTCCAACTCAGTGAGCAAGGGCTTCGGGAGGGTGGTAGTAAGCACAGGAGATATCAAAGAGCCAGCGCTTGGCTAGAAATGGCAGCAGAGCCTAGTGGAGGCTGGTCTGAGCTGTGTTTTGGTATTGCCTCTCTTGTGTGCCGTCTTTTGGTTCATAATTTAGGGACAGTCTTCTGTGCACTATGTCCAGGTCTTTGTCAGGATATCTGACAGTCACTACCGAATGGTAAGATCAAACTTCACATAGTATGCATTGAATTCCAAAGGCGAGGAGGGATCTGCGGTTTTTCGATGCCAGAACAATGCTGGCCGGTGCTGGGTGGTTGCCCTGTAACCTGTTGAAAGCAGGAGCGTGAGGCCTGGTAGAGAGATCTGGGGATGCCTTGGGGTGGGCATTCCATGGGAAAACCAAGGGTTGCTGTCGGGACGACACTGGCCGGAGCTGGGGGATGAGTCGTGTTGCCCTGTAACCAGCAGGGTGGGGACATGAGGCCTGGGAGAGCTCGGCAGGGAATAAGACAGTGTAAGAGAATGTTAGAGTGTTTTGTTAGGGATTCCAGGGGTTCTGAGCATTCGAAGGACTTCTGTGACTTTCCTTTTTGACTTAGTAATTGCTGCTTGAGTAGCCTAGCAATGGGTCAGCGGTTATCCATGTTTTTCCAAAATTTTGCTGAACTCCTTTAATAGTCCTCAAATTGTTCTTAGCCGAAGCCAGGTAATGGCCCTGGTATTTCAAACGACTTGTATAATTCTATATGGAATGCTGGGCCCGGTTCCCAGCACGTGTTGCTCCCCAAGAATAGACTGGAGCATTTGTTCACCCCCCACAAAAAACAAAGAAAAAAAAGAAAAAGAAGAATTCCAAAACCTATCCCTACGCTTATAAAAATCGCTAACGTGAGAAATCTGCAATCCGGGCCGTCCTGGTCCTAGCGGTCCGACGGTTCGGATCGTCACCCGATCTTAAGACTTTAAGATCGCGCGATGATCCAGGTCGTCAATGGTCCTACTGCCCCGACGGTTCAGATCGTTGTGCGACTTTAGAAATATTAAGATCATGCAACGATCTGGGCCGTTTTTTGTGTTGATATGTTTTAAATTTTTGCATCTTCGTTTTTTTTAAACACCTAATTTCCCAACAAAAAAACGAAAATCATTTCAAAAAAAAATACAGCACAACTCAAGGACCATATCCCTCATGATAAAAAAATCCAAAAAAAAAATCCTGCTTTTCTTTTTATTTGTTTTTAATATTTTGTTTAAATCGAATTTCGTTTTTCATTTTTCAAAAATCTTAAACGAAGTCGGATTCCAAAATAAAAAACATAGGATTGTAGGGTTTTCCAATCCCTACACCCCTATATGTTTGTTTGTTTTTTAACGTATTTTTAGGGGTGAAAAATAAAATAAACAACCAGGCTGCGGACTGGGCCTCATTGGCCGAGGTCGTGGCCGACTTTTTCGGCCGCAGCGGCTGAAATGCCTGCGGCCTGGGCCGCGGGTGTGACATAGACGCTCAGTGTTACATTCATCCCAGAGGAAGAAAATTTGAAGTTGGCTGTGCTTTGAAATTGAGAAATGCTGCATTATTATGGAGCCCATCCCACACCACTTTAGAGCACGTGCTCCTATTGGAATCGGAGTAAGGTCACCTGTGCCTGAACGTCTTAAGACTTGTTCTGTCGAAAGCTGCTCTCTGGTAGAGGTTGTTTGTGTTGTCATGTCTCTTCTCCTCAGCTCGTACATGCATTATGTGCTTATTCTTTTGTCTGTCGTCTTTCCTTCCGTTGCTTTACGCCTGTACTCACTGCTGTTTTGATTTCTGCGGTTTCCTTTGTAGCCTTAACATTGGTTGCAGGTTGGACCCCTTAGGATGTCGAGGTCGAGGCTTCGAAAGTGCAGTTTAGAAGTTAGAACTAGAATGTGTTCCTTCAAAGCATAAGCTTGTTGTTTCTTCTGGAGTCTTAACAGTGGTTGCTGGTCGGAGCCCGTAGGATGTGGAGGTTCAAGGCTTTGAAAGTGTGGTCTAGAACTAGATGTGTTACTTCACAGCAAAAGCTTGTTGTCGAGGGACCTTTTGTTTGGTTTGACAGGTACGGCATCCCATAACCATGCAGCGTCAATGTCCAATCTACTGACTCTGTCCAAGCTGATACTTGTTCTGATGGTGGTGCAGGCATATGGCATATGACTATCGGACCACGCACTCACGTTTGGTTCCAGACATACTCAACCGTCACCAGTTGGTTTCTTTGATCTCTCGGGACATGCCTTGTCACGATTGCTGCTCTGGGTCGGAGACCTTTTGTCTTCTGCTTTCTAGTTCTGCAGAGAGAGCTACTTAGTCAAGTTGGTTTCTGAAGAAGCGCTGTTTGCTCAGACAAATCTACCCTTTTTTCTAAAGGGGGTGTGATTTGTTTCCAATTCATTGCAGCCAGGTCACGCGTTTACAGCACATGAGCCTGAAGGAGTCGTCATCATGGTGGGATGGAGGTGAGGTTTGTGCCCTTTGTCCTATTCTGCTTACATGCACTAAAGCAGTTGTTCAGGACAGGTGCGTTTGTTCCGAGGGTGTGGTGGGGGTTTTCTGTCAGTGTGCTCTTTTTTCTATATGCTTTCGGTTTCGAAGGTATTGTCAAAGGGGAAGGATAGGAGTGTTTGCTTGGGAGGTGTGCAGTGGGTGTAGGCAGCAGCAAAAGTGGCAACTTGCTTTTTCCGGCAGTTGGAAGTTTCTGCGGCTGATAATTGACGCAGTGCCTTGCATAGTATGACCTTCCGCTGTCAGAGGTGATGAGAGAGAGAGAGAGAGAGAGAGAGGCAGTTGGAAGTTTCTGCGGCTGATAATTGACGCAGTGCCTTGCGTAGTATGACCTTCCGCTGTCAAAGGTGATTGCGCATCGGGGGGGGGGGGGGGGGGGGGGGGGGGGGGGGGGGGGGGGGGGGGGGTGGTAGAGAGAGAGGGAGAGAGAGAGAGAGAGAGAGAGAGAGAGAGAGAGAGAGAGAGAGAGAGAGAGAGAGAGAGAGAGAGAGAGAGAGCTGACGTGGGACAGAAGAAGACGTGGCAGTGGTTGAATAAATGTTGTCGTCAGAAGGCCTCTTCTTGAAGATGTGAGCGAGAGCGATGCAGGTAGTCAGCATGCCCCGTGCAAGTTGGCGAGAACCCCTGTGATTCGTGGTGTGCTCTGTGAGGAAGTGCAGGTGAAAGGCGTCTTGGCAGCGTATCCGTTGGTTGGCATTTGTCTTGCCGTTGCGAACGGCAACGACGGTGCCCTCTTTCTGTGCCTTAGTTCAGAATCGCAATGTTCAATGACAATGGCGATCACATCAGTAGAGCTCACTCAGGTGAAGAAGAAGCGGACGAGGAAGAAGAGGAAGAAGAAGAAGAGGAAGAAGAGGATGGAGACGAGGATGGCGATAGTGATGATGATGCGGAGGGTGAAGAGGATGAGGATGATGAGGATGACGACGAAGATGGTGGAAGCGGAGGGGCCCGGCAGAATATGCTGAGTTTCATGTTTGGGAATGTCGGTGATGATCTTGCATTGGAGGAAGATTACTTGGACGAGGATGCAAGGGCCCACCTCGGAGCTTTGGGAAATCAGCTGGGAGGGTCATTGTTCGCTTTACAGCGGGAGGTTTCTCTTCCACAGAAAGGCCGACAGAGATTGACATCATTCGATGAATCCAAAGTGGACTTCTCAGTGGAGAAGGCGGAGGATGCTGTGGATTATGAGGATATTGATGAGGAAATTGAGGAAGAGGAGGACGGGAAGGGGAACGATGCGGAGGTGGTTGTTCCTGAGCCGTCATTCTATGCAGAAGCTGCTTTGGCAGTTGGGGCACGTCTCACCTCTGACCGCCCGCAGGTGCTGCCAGTGGGTATTGACGATGAGGACGACTACGATGAGGAGGAAGACAAGGGCAAGGAGACAGCGGAAGTCGAGGCCGAGCAGGCACAGCATGTGGACGACTTTTCGTTGGTACTCTGGCGATTTGGTAGCCACAGACTAGAACAGGATGCCGGGGCTGTCGGTGATAGCAAAGGTGGAGAGACTGGGCAGATGCATAAAGATTCAGAGGTACTTGCAAAGCTGCTGGAGGAGGACGAGGATGAGGATGCAGGGGATCATATTGATCTTAATGCAGAAGTTGGCTACCTGAGGGAGTTATTGCTTGGTGATGGGCCAGATGGTCATGAGAACGATATGGCTGGCGTCCCTGCCCTTCTGTCGAAAGAAGGTGCAGTGGGAATGGGCCACTACCCAACTGCATCTGGGCTTCTGCTCAGTGAGAGATTCCCTCTGGACAGCCAATCAAGCAAAGCAGATCAGGCAGAGAAAGGTGCCATTGAGACTGGGGGGCCAGGGCTTGTGCAGGATCCAGGCACACTCGCGCAGAAATCGGGAACATTTATGAGTGGTACGAAAGATGACCCGGATGTAGGTACGCTGCTGTTTGGGGTCTTGAACCTCGAACTTGCGGTTGGCGAGGAGGCTAGCAAGCCTGGGGAACAGATGCTCTTCGGGTATCAGACAGATCTCGAAAAAGGGTTGGTAAACGGAGAGCTGGACGGTGAGGAGGCTTTACCTGATCTGCATGAAGAGGACCAGATTGTAAGTGACAGAATGCCTTCAGATGTTGAGATGGGGGAGGGGGAAGGGGAAGCAGAAGTCAGACTGTCACTTGATGGGAGGGAGACTGGTGAAGAGGTGGAAGCTGGATTGGATGCAGATGCTGCGGCGGGAACGAGTGAAGAAGAGCAAGCTGCAAGGGTTGAGGGGAGAGAGGATATGGACGAGGATACCGAGGGAGGGGTAAAAGTAGACAAGGATATCGGAAGGGATGGTCAGAAAGAGGACAGAAAAGAAGAGGTGGAGAAGGGTGTGGGAGTGGTCTCCGAGCTGGGGGCAGCGGTGGCGAAAAAGATAGAAGGGGATGAAAGTGAAACCCAGAAAGAAGCACAGGATCAGTCTGTCAGTGCCGCGTCAATGGAGGAGAAAGAGAAGGAAGAAGCCGGAGGGGGGCTGATGCATGCAAGAACAGGCAATGAACAGAGTACCCAGGAGGAGGATGATTTTGAGGATGACCGGCAGGGTTCATGGAGACCTTTCTTCCTTCCGGATGATGCCACTCCCTCCCCAACGCCTTCTCCCGAGCCGGAAAGGGGGAGAGTTGGGGAGTTCTTGGGGGATCTGGATGAGGGCGAGAGACAGGAAGATCGTGCGGAGGAGCTGGAGGCAGAGGTAGAGAGGGAACTTGCAAATGCAGTTAAAGAAGAGGAGGAAGGAAGCGAGAGAGGTATGGATGATGTTGAGGCAGCGCTCAAGGAGGTGGAGGAAGAATTGGGAGCAGGAGGAACAGAGGGCGAGGAACCTGCACAGGCTGATAAGGGATCCCCAAAGCAAATCCTGGCGTCAGATCCTTACGCGAATATCGTAATGCCAGTGCTTTTTGAGGAGGACGGAAAGCAGGTGCTTCGGTTTTCCGAGCTTTTTGGTGTGAATATTCCCTTCTGGGCTTTGGGTGTGAAACCTAGACAAAAGAGACGAGTTGATATTGATGTCCGACAGGTGGAAGGAGATTCACGGTCTGATATTGACGAGGAAGAAGCTCATCATGTTGCACCGGAGGCAGCGATCAAACAGTTGGCGGAGTTGGAGTTGCAGCGAGAGTTGGCGGAGTTGCAGCGAGAGGAGCTTCGCGGATATGGGGAGGAGAGCACAGATGAAGAAGAAGAAGGAGGAGGAGCGAGCACAAGTGTTGATAGCGAGGAGGAATGTGCAGATGAAGAGCAGAATGAGGAGGCGGGTATGGTGTCAATGGACACACAGAGAGAGATTGAACGGATGCAGGGGAGAAAGAAGAATGAAAGACGAGGTCGACCGAAAGGCCGGAGGCGAGCTAGGTTTGTCATGGGGCAGCCAATGAAGGTAGGCCAAGATGCAATGGACTGGTGTATGAAGAAACTTGCCAGGGTGGTTTCGATTATCCCGGAGGCAAATTTTGAGCCCTTGCACCTTCAGGAATGGGAAGCGAATATAATATGGGAACAGGACCAGAGGGACTGGCATGGGAAGAAACACAACGGGAATTATTGCCATCAGGATTTCGACGGCCTCCACGAGGCAACGATGGATCGGTCTCTGCCTGAGCTGTTCAGCAGGAAAGTGCGTCACATGATCGGGGAAAAGTGGAGAACTTGGAACTCGTGCAATGCCAACAGAGAGCTCGTTGATGAGAAGGATGATGATGAGGATGGCGAGAAAGATGAAAGCGCGCATCGACTTGGTGGGGATGTGGTAGTGGAGGGAGAGGGGGACGAGGAAGACCTAGCTGGCGTGAAGGAGTGGAAGCGTCCTGTAGTTTTGGAACCCCTGGGTAAGGAGTTTCCCCCCCTAAGGATGGATGATGACGACGGGGAGGATGAAGAGCTTCTGTTCAATGGGCACATAGACTGGATGTCTGCCAGGGCTTGGACAGAAGCCCCCGTGGACCAGGCCGAAAAAGAAAAAGACCCCTTGATGAGGAATTTGAATGGGCCTGAAGAAGACGGGAGTCTCTTCAGGGTCACAACAAGTGAAGGAGGCTGCATAGCAAGCATGGAAGCTGTGGAGGGGGCTGCTAGAAAGAGCATAGGTGCGTCTAGTATGGGGTTCATGAGAAGTGAGAGTAGTGGGGAGGAGAGAAATGAGTTGATAGGTAAAGATGTGGCGGCGGCAGAAGGAAGAGGAGGAGGAGACGGCAGAGAAGTGGAATTGAGTGGCACTCTGAAAAGAGAAGACAGGGAGAGTCAAGGTTTACGGAAACAAAACCTGGAGCTTGAATCGGGAGAATGGTTAAAGGATGTCGAGTGGGAAGGGTTGGATGATAATAAATGGGAAGCAAGGGACATGAATGGAGACGCAAGGCCAAGGACAATACTGGACCTAAATGACCCAAACATGGTGTTTGAAGTGGACAGCACGTCGTCAGCTTACGGGCGTATTTTGAGTCACGCTGCAGCTCTTATCGTCGTAACTCCCCCATGTGAAGTAGCTGGCGAGAGAGGTGGCCCTGGGGCAGCAGGAGCTTCCTCCCCTAGTGCGGCGGCTGGCGGAAGTTTTGCGGCAGCAGAAAATGCTGCCACAAATATGGGTCACGTGTCGCCGCCGCTGAAGGTCAGTTTCAACGTGTCGAATGATAAGTTCTACCAGAAACCAGCCAAGAAAAAGGGGCATGGCAAGCGGAACCATGTCCAAGGACAGAGGATTCTGCATGCATTACCGGCGCTGAAGCTACAGACGTCAAAGCCGAACTTGCTGCTCAAAGAGGTGGCCAATTTCCATCGTCCACGGGTTATTTGGTACCCTCAGAAGACTGTCACTGCAGGGCAGGAGGTCGGGAGGAAGGAAGAGGAGAAGACAAGAGGTCCTGTGATTGGCGCGATGAGGGTCGTCATCAAGTCGCTGGGAGGAAAAGCGACCACGTGCCATATAAATGGAAGTGACACTTCAGCAGCACTGAAGTCGAAGGTCAAGGGGAAGTGGACGGATTTGAAACGAGAGCCCTTCAAGCTCTTTTTCAGCGGCAAAGAGCTTGATGACTCGCGGACACTCGCAGAGCAGTCCGTGATGCCAGAATCGATTGTCTATCTTGTCTGCACAAAGGTCCACCTTTTGCCAAAGGCCCAGAAACTCCCAGGGGAGAACAAGCCACGACGTCCACCTGCTGCCTTCAAAAAGAAGTCGGAACTTTCAGCAAAGGATGGACACATCTTGTTGATGGAATATGCCGAAGAGCGGCCACTACTTCTCAGTAATGTGGGTATGGGAGCGAGATTGGCGATGTACTACAGAAAGACCTCACCCACGGACAACGGCCATCGCACTGTGGAGGCGGAAGGCGGCCCGTTCATTGGCACAGTGATTCCTCTTGAGCCTGAGGACCACTCCCCTTTTCTTGGAGACGTTCCTCCGGGAGAAACGGTGGGGAGCTTGGAAACAAATTTGTACCGTGCTCCAGCTTTTCAGCACAAGGTAGGACCTTCTGACTACCTCCTTGTGCGGAGCACCAAAGGTAAGCTCTCACTGCGGCGCATCGATTGCATGCATGCCATCGGCCAACAAGAACCTCTCGTCGAGGTGATGACACCCGGTTCGAAGATTGCAACAAACTTTGCCACCTTGCGAATGCAGGCTTACGTGTACAGAGAGTTCCGTGCTAACATGAAGCCAAATCAGCAGCACCTGAGGATCCGAGCATCTGACTTGCAGGCTCAGTTTCCGGGCCAGTCGGATTCCATCATCAGGAAACGGTTAAAGCACTGTGCGGATTTTCAGAGAGGGAGTGGTGGAGATGGGTCAGGATGGTGGGTGATGAAGCCAGGCTTCCGTCTACCCTCCGAGGACGAGTTGAGGCGCATGATCACCCCGGAGATGGTCTGTCAGTTCGAGAGTATGAAAGCAGGGCAGCAGCATCTTAAGAGAGGTGGTATTAAGCACCTGACGAGTCACGTAGGCCTGACAATGGCAATCCATCAGCTTCCGGACGAGGCAATCATTCTGGCAGCAGCAACACACATCGAGCGTGAGCTTCAGCTTGCGCCCTGGAACCTCAGCGCAAATTTCATTGCGGCGGCACAGGGACGGGGAACTCTCGAGTACACTGGAGTGGCTGATCCGACCGGGCGTGGACTTGGGTTTAGTTACTTGAGAGTTGTCCCAAAGCCTGCACAAGGAGCACTTGTTGAGAAGAAGGCGGCGGCTGCAAGAGGTGGAGGAACCGTCACAGGAACGGATGCCGATCTGAGACGGCTAAGTATGGATGGAGCGAGGCAGGTCCTACGGAAATTTGGTGTTCCTGATGAGCAAATCGAGGGTTTGACTCGGTGGCATCGGATAGCCATGGTGAGGAAGCTGTCTAGTGAACAAGCGGCCGGGAGCAGAGGCAGCTCGGCCGTGACCCTTCACAAGTTTGCGAGAGGTACTCGGATGTCGATGATGCAGCAAGAGCAACAAAGGAGAGAAAAGTGTCAGGAAGTCTGGGACCGGCAGCTTCAGAGTCTGGCAACGATTGAGGAGCGACCGGGTGAAGGGGAGGATAGGGACAGTGATGCGGAGGGCAGTGACCTCGACTCGTTTGGTCGCGATCTGGAGAACTTGCTTGATGCCGAGGAAGGAGAGGAGGTGGATAAGGGCGGCGTGGGAGGGAAGGACAAGGGTGCCGGCGGCAGCGGCTGGAGGGAGAGGAGTGAAGGCGGAGGTGTAGCGGGTGTCCGTGGACTGGCAGCTCGTCGAAGGGCATTGCAGCTTCAACAGGAGCAGGTGATGGAGGACGAGGAGGCAGAAGCTGCAGCGCTTCGGCGAATGCTTCGTGAAGATGATGAGGCAGAGGAACAAAGGAAGAAGAAGGCTCTGAAGGAGAAGGAGAAACACAAGCGAGAGGGTGCATCTGAGGGACCTCCTCCTGCAAGTAAGGTTGCAAGAGAAGAACAAGGGGCAGCTTCCGTCAAGAGTGCTGCTGCTGCTGCTGGGGTGTCGTCAGTCGTCACTCGAGGAACAACAACTCTGCCAACGGCAGCTCCACCTGATGGAGCGAAGCTCGGGAGTGTGCCCGAGAAAAAGAAGAAGACGAGGCTGACAATCAAGAGCAGACGGCGGCAGCCGGACGGCACCTTTCAGGAGACCATCATGCATATCACCGACCCCGTAGAGATACAGAATTATCTGGCAAGGAAAGAAGCTATGGGACCGAAAGGACGGGCAATCGGAAGGATAGGTGGACGGAAGCTTCTACCGAAGTTGACAGGAGATCAGAACGCTGGTTCGAGACTTGCGACAGGAACTACGGATACAAAACAAGCCGGTAAGGCAAAGACAGCATGGATGATGGGGTCTGGTGGGGTGGGTATTCCGCAGGGAGCTGTTGTGCCGAAGGTGAGGCCTGTCAAGGTGAAGCTTGTGGGACGGAAAGTTGGGCCTGCGGGCGCGGCAGAAGAGAAGGAGCAAAGTAAGGTGAACATCATCCGCATCAAGGACAAGCTAGCCTCTGGAGGAGACCACAAGGGGAAGCTAAGAGCTGCTGCGGCTGATCGCGAAGCGGATCGTGACCTTGCAAATGAGCTTGCAATAGAGCCTCAGTCGGTGCCGAGGATGATCGTCAAGCGGCCGATACCTGGGAAGAAGGTTGTGAAGAAAGTCTTCGGGGTCAGCGGGAATGAGGACGAGATTCGGCGGAAAGAAAAGAAGATCAAGACTCTGGGATCCACAGAGAAAGGTAGTAAGGCTGCTGGTGATGAGACGGGGAATGCCAAGAAGATGGTTTGTGGAGCCTGTGGGCAGAAAGGGCACATGCGGACAAAGAAGTCGTGTCCGTTTTACAGGGGGGAAGATGACACTGCCTCTCTTGGCCATCCAGAAGGCGCTATTGCTTCCGGGTTGCTGGAGGTAGAGGGATCAAAGATAAAACTGCACACAAAGAAATTGGAATCCTCACACCAACATCAGCCACAGCGGCCCGCGGTCGGGTCAGCATCAACAGAAGCACCAGCAGCAGAAGCAGCCGCGGGAAGAGGAGGAGGAGGAGATGGTGGTGGATTTGGCACTAGCCCTAACAAACAGGGGGGTAGTTTTGTAAATGAGAACCAAAGACATTCGCTTCGCGGCGGTGCTGATTTGGGCGCTGAAAATTTGCAAAATTCTAAACAGCTGCAAGGCTCAGCTGCTTTCAACGAAAGACAGCAGACGGCAGCTTCTGAAACTGTGAAGACGCCGGTGCAGAAGGTGGTGATTTCTGTCCCGAAAAGAGAGGGATCGCAGCAGCAGAAGAACCTGGGATCGCCCAGTGGCACGGTCCGGAAGATTCCAAAGGTCTCTCTAGTGAATCCGGTACGTGTGTCCTCACCGCACGGTGGACGGGCAGCAGGGGATGACGCTTCAAGGTCTCCCTACAAGACCCCTCTGAAAGTTGTCAAGAAAGTGAAATACATGCACCTAGATTCTACGCACGGTCATCAGAGCCAACAGAGGAAGGGTGAGGATAGCAGTGATCACGTCCGCTTTCGGTCAGGCGGCGGCCAAGGGGAGACGACAACTCCGGTGCAGCCCTCGGTGACCCCAGTGGGTACAGGGGGGACAAAACTAAAGGTATTGCTGCGTGTACCGACGCTTCCATCCGCAACAAAGGAGACGCAGCCGGGGGGGGGCGCTGCACGGGCTTGGGGAGGAAGCACGCCGGGCAGTGCCATTGGAGGAAAGGGCGGAATGCCTGCGGCAGGCAGCGCTGCCAGCCACCGTGGACCGGGCCATCTGTCTAGCGTCAGCCCTGTGGGCAAGAGGAGTAAAGGGAAGCTGAGTTCTGGTAAGAAGAAGGGGGTGAAGAGAGCTGGTTCTGGCGACAATGGAGCAAGCGTCAACCACTACGGACACACTGCAAGCACGGCAAAGAGGCGGAGAATCGCACCGAAAGTGGAGTTGGCCAATATCCTTGAGAATGTGGTCGATACATTGAAGAGAGCAGATGAGGCTTTCCTGTTCTTAAGGCCCGTGACGAAGAAGGATGCACCGGATTACCTCGACTACATCGATCGGCCAATGGATCTTGGTACCATTAGGGACAAGGTGAAGGCTTATTTGTACGCCAGGAGGGAGGAATTCCGGGCGGATATTCTCCAAATCAGGGAGAATGCGTACATATACAATCGTGTTAGAAATCCTCATATTCCACCACTTGCGGATGCGCTTGTCGAGATCTGTGATGCGGAGTTGGAGAGGCGGCATGATGAACTCACAGAGGCGGAATCAGCGGTAAGGGCTATCTATTTTAACGATGGAGAGTGAAGAGTGGGGGGGGGGAAGGGGGGGGGGGGGGGGAGAGAGGGGGCGCATTGGTGGGTGGGTTATTTTTAGGAGAAAGCAGCTTACGTGGGCAGGACATGAGGCTAGGGGGTGGTTTGGCCCCCCTTAGGCTTATGTTTGCCTTGTAGGATTTTAGCAGAAGGCAGGAATTAGGAGTGTTTGTGTGAGGGAGGGTGAACGATGGAGGTGAATAACTTCTGGAGGAATTCAGATTCGAGAAGCGCTCTTTTTCACGTCCTCTCTCCTCTTGATTGATGTATTTTCATCCCGGTCAATCTGACCATGTGATATATGGTGGGAAGTCGTTGGTAGCTTTTCCAGTTTTCGAACACAGCCTTTCCCTTGCTGTGTCTTTCATTCATCTTTGTTCTCTTTAGTTCACACACACACACACACACACACACACACACACACACACACACACACACACACACCTGTCTCTTATACACATACACACACACACACACACACACACACAGAGAGAGAGAGAGAGAGATGAACGCAGCCTTGCTGTGTCTTTCATACATCTATGTTCTTTTTATTTCACGGAGAGAGAGAGAGAGAGAGAGAGAGGGAGAGAGAGAGAGAGAGAGAGGTGAGGAGAACGTGGAGGCTGATGGAGAGAGTTTGGTCACAATTTTCATGTTGTTGAAGAGATCCGTTTTCATATTTCCCAAAATCTCATTGGTGGTTTGCATCTCTAATGGAATGCATGGTTGTGCGTGTAGAAAGTAAAAGAAGGCACCCTGGGGCAAGGGCGAGGGGGGGTTGGGGGAGAGAATGGTGGACTTCCTTCTTTTGATGACTGCCGTCGTGCTACGGAATAATCTCCCGAGTCTTTTCTCAAAAGCGTCATGAGGATGATGGTGTTATTTACTCTGCTTGTCTTTGTGAAAATGTCCTCATAGCATTGCACTGTAAGCCGAGTACCCACGGCATGCCTTTCTGTCATATTTCTATTTGCCTAACCCCGCCGGATCTCTGGCTCCTGGGGGCTTGTGCACAGGTAGGGTTCCCGGCTGGAATCTACTGCTTCTGTGTACCCTTGGACCACCCTCATTTTGGCTGTACCTGACCGGAAATATAGCTTCTATACATTCATTCTCAGGGTGCATTTGGACCATTCGTTCTCAACGTCATAGGGCTGTGCAGGTTGGTGTAGCGTTCCTTTCCGAGGTCGTAGGACTCGTTTACCTCCTCTGGCTACCCTCGTCCCCCGAATACGACGCACCCTCTTTTTGGCTGTCCCTGAACGGAAATATAGCTTCTATACATTCATTCTCAGGGTGCATTTGGACCATTCGTTCTCAGCGTCATAGGGCTGTGCAGGTTGGTGTAGCGTTCCTTTCCTAGTTCGCAGGACTCGTTTACCTCTGGCTACCTTCTTCCCCCGAATACGACGCACCCTCTTTTTGGCTGTACCTGAACGGAAATATGGTTTGTATTCCTTCCCATATTATCAGTGTGCGTTATGTTCGGGGGAAGACGGTGGTGCCCATACCTTGTTGATGATCTGACGTCCCGTCGGTGCTTCAGGTCGACCTCTTGAAACCGTTGATATCCGGAAATCTCACAGTTTTTTATATGCTTTTGCCATTTGGATTTTTCGAGAACCTTCTTCACCCCAATATATTATACGGTGGTAATATACGGCGTATACGCGCTATTATACGGGCATTATTCATTCGACTGAGAGATGCCCCAGTTACGCACCTATAAGGACTGTACGTTATATTCGGGCGGAGCCGCGGCGGAGAAGGTAGGCAGCATAACAGCAACTCTGTTGATCGTACCCGACTGTAGATACGGCGAAAAATATGATTGAGAAATTTCAGATGTTTATTTTCCTTTTGCCATTTTTAGGGTGAAAGAAAAAATGTCATTTAAGTCTGATTCAGATCAATTTTGAAATGGACGATCTGAAGACGTTGAGAG